ATTCATGAATAATCTGTCATAAAATAATTAAATGGTAACAAAGGTATAGTCGAATCAAGATTTTATCTGAAAGACACTTCAAAGTAATTTTCTAACGGTTCTTCTTGAGTAGTATTACATATGTACGTTAGAAGGTATTATTTGCTTTTATAAAATTTATATTTTAATCGTGATTTTAACTCAGATTTTTGTATGAAAATGGTTCGTAATTTTAACTGGATTTTGTAATGAAGTAAATTGTTTGAAACGAACAAGAAAAATTATAATCAACATTTCGATTGCTTCGGCTGTGTGAATAGACTCTAAGATAGTACGGGCAGTCTTGTTCTCCGAGTTTTTAGTATTATTTTTGTTTTTGTAAGCTAAATAAAAATTAATAAGTAAATTTTTATGATTCGAAAGGTTTGTACGGGTTTTATAAATTTTATGAATATCTGTGATTAGTATTAATATATATATATTATAGATCGTTCTCAAAAATTAATAATCCAATTAACAAAATAGCCAATAGTGTCATCATTTATACTCTTATAATCATTGAGTTAGCTAATTAATAGTTTATAATTACTACTCGATATTACGATAACATATTACGATATGATCATAAAACACGATAACTTAAATTATCTAAAGTTTTACATCTACAATTAAATACATAAATTGAACTTCGAATATTTGTGGACTTTTAGTTTATAAAAATTGCACAATCATGTAATTTAATGACTGTATAGTAAATATTACCTAAGAAATATTATTATCTCTATTGATATGGACGTCTGAACACGTAGTGGAATAATGATATACAGAATTTGAAAATAGTTTTAACACTCAAATTTATTTATAGGCATATATATAAAACGAAAATATATTTTGCTGATAAAAATAAGACTGATATTGCAAATATTTATTAATTTAACTTTGCAAAACCTTTTCTTTTTTGGATTGAGATCGCAATTGATTCGATGTCAATATCGCGTTCGAGATCTTTAAGGCGAAATACTAAAGCGCATCGACAGCACATCGCACAACTTTACATTGGAATGTTTGTATCTTCAAAGTATTACTGGAATTTTGAACAATCCTATAGGGGTAAGGTAAAGTTGAAGAGATGGCCTTGTACAACAAAGGCCACTTGAGCTCAAATTAATATCCGTTGTGAATATAGCTCGAATTTTCGTTGTTCATATATAGACCTAAAGGACTTCTGAAAAAACCGCAGCGAATAGTCGGTTGCCATTTTGGAAAAAGTATTTTTTTATATATAAATAAAGCAGATCACTTACCCATGGTAGATAATTGTATGTGAAGTTGTAAAGGACAGACTTATTTTAATGCTCAATATAGTTGTCTATTTCAAGAACTTGTTTAGATAATATAATGGTCGAGCTATGGGTTCACTAGATCTGATTTTTAGACCGTTAAAATTACTGTTTCGTATGCAAATGTTGCTGTGATGCAGTGTTTGAGGTGGGGTAAATCATATGTAAAGCGTATATAAAAAATGGGTTCCAACACATTGTCCTGGGGGATATCTTGTTTCATTACGGTAAGAGTACGTATCTTTTTGTTTGATGCGAATAAAAGGGTCTGATAGACACGATTTTATTAGGCTAAAGTATTATTTTAAGAAAAACCGAAGTACAAATCTGTTTTTTATTCGAAGATGTTTTCAATAACTCTAGTTCAAGTTCTATGGATTTGGTCGATGAATGAGAGTTTTGTGCAGAAACCTAGCTGATGCGCAGGTATTAGCTCTCCTTACTCGTCTAAAAAGATCTCAATAGATTTATTTTTGGACAATAACAAACTCTTGAATAATCCAATAAATTGAAAAAAATTAATTGAAATTAAGAAATATTTCTTGGTTAGGTTAGATGACGTTGGAGTGGCGGCGTTGAATTCAAACCCCACTTAAGCATAAATAATGACCTGTTGTGATAACAAAAATGAGCGATTATTGATAAGCAGACCAGAAGTGTTCCAAAAGGACCATAGTGGTTAACTATTGCCTCGACATTAAACAATATTTATTACAGATATTAAACTATTTTATTTAGCCACTAAAATACATTAGTTTGATTAAGGGTCACATCAGACATTCATTAAAGAATGTGGTTCAAATGTATAGACTATTTTAATAGACAATATCATAATATCATATCAATATCATAAAGTATATGCTTTTAACATAAAGTAAAACCCAAAATGTTTTTCGAAATTATTTTTTTTATAAAAAAAAATTTATTGTATAATTTTTAACAAGTATGTATGTATGTGTATGATAATTTTAAACCATAACCGTTTCCAAATAACCATCCGTCACACGCTTTAAAATTTATTTATTTAAAACTTCGAATTTAAGTCCATGTTCATGCTTTTGCAATTCTTCTATAATGCTAGTTTTAGCAAAGGCGGCACCTGGTGTTAAGACTCCACCAGTTGATGGCATTTTATCGCTTTCTTTCAGTATTGTAACAGCTGTAGAAAGTAATGCAACACATGTAGCTCCATAGCCAGGATTTGTACCAGAAACCTTAACAACCACTGATTTATTTGGTGCATCCTTATATTGATCGGTGGGTTCAGCTAAATTTGAAGACTTAGGCCAGCCAAGTGCTTTTATAGTGAATGAGAAATGTGTATTGTTCATTACAATTTCAGATGGTCCCTCATGTGAAACAAAACCAAATGTGAAAAGTCTTGGATAGTCCAAAAGTAATTTACGTGTAAATGAAAATTGTGCCATAATACCATACACGATAGCCATAAAGCCAACAATAATTGCTTCTATCCAAGAACCAAAGGCTACAAAACTATTTACCTGTGCAGGACGTTTACGTTCGAATTGATAGCGAAAACGTTGTGTACGAGCAGCAACTGCTGAATCTGGGCCAGGGAATGGTAAACACACTCGATCGACAACTTCAGATTTGAAAATCGGTGGACGGCGCTGAGCTTTAGGTTGAAATTTTGGTAATTTTTCACTAAACAATTTCGGACGTATATCTTTTAATTCGTGTAGATGACCTATAGCATGTATAAGACTTTCCCATGTTCCATAATGTATGCCAGCAGATTTAGGACTACGTTTACGAACTGTTTTCAAGTATGTTTCTACAGAATTAATAGTGCCATCAAAATTTTTCTCTGCATATAAAATACCAATTTCGGATGGTATTGAATCAAAGCCACAGCCAGACACTATGTAAGTATTACGTTCTTGTGCTTTAGCATGATATTTCAACTGCATACTTTCCATAAACTGTGTTTCACCAGTAACATCCACATGATGTGTGCCGGCTTCTATGCAAGCACGTACCACAGGCTCACCAAAGAAACGATAGGGTCCGCAACAATTGACCAATACACGACAACGTTGTGCCATTGCCAGCAATGATGCCTCATTACCTACATCCGCAATAACAATGGGTGTGTCCATTAAATTTTGTTTAGCTTTTGCACCCATTTCCTCTAGGATAGATTGGAGTTTAGCCTGATTGCGACCGGCAATACCCCAACGTAAGTTTCCCAGCACTGATGCCGCTTCAAATACAGTATATTTGCCGGTAAACCCGGTTGCACCAAATATTATAACATCCAGTTTTTCTTTAGTCATCCTGAGCATTTATACTAAAAAAAATTAATATAATTATGGAATAATAATTAAAAAATTATTTTTTCAATTACCGAATTTAGTTTTAATACCGAAAATTTTTAAACACAAAGTCCAAGTCCAACGCCTTTTAAACTACTCAAGTAGTGAACTGTAAATGAAATACCAACAAAGGAAAAGAATATTTTAACGTGTGTAGTTATTAACAAATACATTAATAAAATTTACTTTATCAGAATGCCATTTATTAGTTAACCCCTACGATTAAACACACATTCGTAGACAAAAAAATACACACAAGTGAAGCTCAGTTTACATTCAGAAAACACGACAATCTTGCAAACCCGTTACCATGCAACCTCGAAGGGCGGAGGGAATGCAAAATATAAATAATTAAATATGCTGCACACAGTGTTTATCATTTTTATTCAGACTTCTTGTATGATCTTATTGATCTAAAATCTTTTTATAGAATTCTATTAATGGATGATAATGCAAACGAATGCCGGCCGTATAATTCGCATACTTTTAAGTGAAAGTCTTTTAATATTTTTAAATTTGTTTCAAAAATTACAAAATAATATTATTTGTTATCACATTTTGTGTTAAACGATTACGTTTAAAACTTATCACTTTAAACTTGAGTGCTTATCTAGTTATTAAATATATTTACATCAGCTGTTCTTTGCACACATTTTAGACCAGATATTAATTTTCTTAAACAATTTTGTGCGCGATAATGATTTCTTCTGGTACATTCGTTACGGCGACGGATTTTGAAAAAGTTTTATTATATTAGATCTGTTGCACGAGATACTCGTAGTAACTTTGAGTAACACAAGTGTGTATACACAAGTGCGTTCCAGGAAATTTTCGAGTAAATGAGAGTATCCGAGAGAGCGTAACATCCCTGTCAAAATTTGAAATAGCTACACAGACTTTACTTTCTTTCAAGTAAAATTTGTGTTGATGTGTGAATCAGCTGTTTTGGTTTGAATTCAAACTTTTTTATTGCTTATTTGTTCTCACCAGACTTTATACAAAGCTGTTCCACGAAAATCTGTGTAAAGAGCATAATTTGGCACTTTTTTTGTGTTACGCTCTTAGTTTTCTC